GCACAATTTTCAGTGTGTTTAGAAATAATTTCTTTACCGTACACAATTTTGATCAATTTGCTTAATTCGATGTGATTTTTCAGCGTAAATGCCAATGTTTTAAACCGGCTCTCTTTACTAGATCTCTTTAGGGTCCCGGCCCACCAGTTGAGAAGCACTGCATGTGTTTGTCGGATTTGCATTATAGACTAATTTTTACAGTCTGTGTGCGGTGGAAACATATGGACCGCTGCCCCCTGGCGGCCATAACTTTCATTTTGTCCTGTGCTGTGGACGCACGGTGTGCAGAGCAAAGACTTTGAAATAGATCCATGACCCAGCCCATGCCTGACCGGGTGGGAGCAGCCGTGATGTTCAAAGTTATCCTCAAAGGGAACTCTGGGTAAGAGCTGGGAGTCATCTGTCACTGTCACGGGCTGGGATTAAAGTGATTCATTTTAAGGCAGTGTCGGAATGATGAATTGCCCGTGATTATTTTCTACTTGTGAATTACAAAAATAATTCTGTTAAAGGACTGACCTGTAACGGACTGTAGCCAAAGAACCCCATAAAGAATATCATAGAGTCCCTCTTATAGAAAGTAGGATTAGTTTTTATTGTTATAGAATTATCTAAGGTTATGTCCCTTTATTTGCAAATGTTTATTTAATGCAAACATTCACAACATATACAAACTATTATTCACAGAAAATAAGAGAAACTTGTGCTTATCCCATGCTAATCCTCTCTCCCTTCACTTGCTCTCTGTTGAGTTCACTTTTTCCACATATTTCACATGTACAGTACTTCTTGAAACAGTTTTTGCATCATAACTTACAGGAGAATAAAGCGCATCTTTGAAAAACATAGATCAAAACTAACCACAGCATTAAAGCGGCATTGTGTAATTTTTCAGAAATGCAGGTAAATGCCATATAGTCTTGTTTATTTCTATGCACACGTATGCACCGGTTGAAGGAGTATATGACGGAATTTGAATTTCTCACATTTCTGCGTAAAATCCCCATCAAATATGATCTGATCTCTAGGATGTGATATTTATAATAAAGATAACATGCAAACAATGACAGAAGGGGGAGGAATAAGTAACTGAACATTCTGCCTCAGGAGACTTTGAAAGCAATGAATGGACAGCTGCTCTGGCCACTATAAAACACACTCCTGGTGACACGAGTGTCTTGATGAGAAGCATTGTCTGCTGTGCATCATGCTTTGCTCAGAAGAGCACTCTGAAGACCTGCAATCAAGATTGTTAATAATAATGCATACTGTAGCCACAGCTGCCCTGGGGCACACTAACAGAAGCGAGGCAACCAGCATGTGCCATTGGCCCCTCCGACCACCACCAACCATTCACACACACACCAGACTCATTCTAGGCAGTGGGGGTAAAGTATCTTGCCTCAGGACACAACGGCAGTTTGGCACTTTACAGCCGCAGTCGCCCCACTGTGGCATCAGGTGTTCCCAGAGGTTAAGTGTCTTTCCACAACGACGTGAAACAACGTGGTGGAGAAAGTCGTGTTGTGGGCTTGAACCCACAACATTCAGGCTCAAAGGCAAATGTTCTACCAACTGTGCCACTGTCGCCTCACATTGTTGGTTTGTATAAAGCTGAGAAAGATTACAGAACCATTTCATTAATCCACAGTTAGTGAAACTATTTACAAATGGAGAGTGTTGCTTCTCTCTCAAGAAGTGTCCGTCCACCAAACTCAAGAGTGTCCACTAAATACTGAGAAATCACTGACACAGTCCAATATTTGTGTGCTCAGGACTCCATGGAGGAAGCCACTGCTGAGTGAAAAAAACATTGCAGCATATTTATGTTCACAATAAGGCACTTGGACGCTCCACAGAACAAAAAAAAAAAAAAAAACAACATTATGAATTCTGCAACAGAACAATGTAAAAAACACAAAAGTGAATCAAGAACAACGTTCATTATTTAGCACTAAAATTCTACAAAAAAAAAAAAAAAAAAAGTTCTTACTGTAAAATATGTATACGACCTTTGAAAATATGTGACCTGAGATAAAAACATATTGGCCAAAGAAAATGAAAATAAACTACTACTACTACATTCTGGGGTGGCCAAGTCAAAGTAGTGACTTGATCCCAAATGAGATGCTGTGGCATGACCTATAGATAGATAGACAGATAGAGATTCAGGTGTCCAGTAGCAGCAAAAACACATGCATCCATACAAACAAAACAAATAGATACATAATTCTAAAAGTAGCTAGCAATAGTAATAACATGCAATAGCACTTTAGGTCACAGCAGCAGAGGTGGAGTCAGTGATGAGCTGGTTTCTACTCCTCTGGTTGATGTACGCAGGTTGGGAGCATTTTCTTTGCTCTGGTCCAGAGTGAAATGCTGAATTCTTTATTCAATTTTTTATAAAAAGACAGCAATACATGCCAGACATTTTATTTATTGTTTATTTGGTTGTTAATGTTGTGCATGTTCATGAACACACCTCACTGGATTGTAGACTTGGTCTAATTTGCATCCATTGCCGCTGCAGTCACTCTCACAAACACACACTCATTCACCTTGAACTATTGTGCTTTTTTTTTTTGTGATAGGGCAAACCGGAGCACCCGGAGGAAACCTATGCGGACACAGCAAGAACATGTGAACTCCACACAGATAGATATGAATGGATGCTGATTGACTGGGTGAACAACCAGTTATTAAATGTGATTGTTCAGCTACTTATTCCTCCCACTTCTGTCATCGTTAGTATGCAAACATCATTAAAATATGAATCCATGTTTTTTCATCCTTGTGAATTTGAGAAAGATCAGATCACATCTAATGGTGATTTTATGCAGAAATGAGAGAAATTCCAAATGCTTCACATTTTCAGGTCACTGTAGACACATGTACAGACTGGACACAAGGACACAAGCCTTTGCTTCATTGAACATTGTTTTATTTTTGATGATAAAAGATACATTACTCCCTACAGTACAAAAAACACACATTGGAAAATACAGGACATTTCCAGATAACCTGCAAACAGCCAAGAGAGACCGGCAACAACTGTCAGTGCTGAGGACGTGCCCATCCAAAAACGGATCACCCCACAACGTGACCCCGCAAAGATACTGTGGAAGGAAAGGACAATTGTATACCACGTGGAGAGAGGAACAAACAAGTTTTTTTTTTTTTTACCTTTGAGAACCTTGAGAGTTTATCTAAATTAAGGCGTTACTAATGAAATACACTGCTTTTTGCATGCATGTCTAGTTTTGTTCAACAGACACACTGACAAGCACAAAATGATGGTTGCATAATGAAAACAAAGTTCATAAGAGAAATCAGGATTAGACCCAAGTGCAAGTCTCACAGAAGGACTGCTCGTAAAGTCTCAGCAACAAATGAATACTGGTGCTTACCATTACCACTAAATTGGCCCATACAAACAGTTATCAGTTTAATTAACAGTTTAATCGATTTAAAAGCATTTGTGTACAAGTTGGTTGGGAACGAAATGGTTTAAAGTCTGAGTTAATTCCCCAAAAAAAGTATATTCAAACCGATTAGGAACACTGTATATTTATATAAAGGTTTCTTTCAGTTATTACACAAAAGGCATTTGAAATGACAGACATGTAAAACAGTTTATAGGTTATAATATAAAAGGCCAACTTTTTCTCTTGTAGTTGATTAGTTCCTTGATAAAGCAAGAATATTCTACAAGAGTGTACACTCCAGCTATGCAGCATTATGCAAAATCCATTCGAAGATCGTCATGTTAGTTGCATGCACATCTGTTTCTGAAATAGTCACGTAAGAAAAGCATAAAATTTATTTTGTTTAATACAGTGGAAGGAATGGGGAATCGGATCTACTAATAATTAAAATGTATATATTAATAAGCATAAAAAGAGGTTTCATAACTCCCAGCTTAAGTTTGGCATGGCAGTACAAATATTGAGTAAGATGTCGCAAACAATATATAGAAAAAAAAGAAAACTATCCTCTCAATGGGTCCACTTCAAAAGTTCCCTTCACTCCTATAACCTCTGCTTAGAACATATACAAATGCCTCTCTAACTGCTGTGTCCAGAACGTACAACTAACTGAAATATTAAAAATACAGTGGCCTCCAGAACGCTGCCATGTGAATTTCTCAAAGACAATTTTATGGGGGATGAACAGTTTAAAAGGTTTTTTTAATGTACACACACGCACACGTTGCAACAGGAGGGAAAAGCTTTTTAAAAAAAATACAAAAATAAACTACACAAAAAAATCATCTGCTTCATTGCTTGCTTCATTTTTTGGGAAGGGTTTTGCACGATGTTCTAGTGCCGCAAGTCTCAGTCACAGCAGTTTTTCCTCTGCACTTCTCCGTGGGTCTTTCTCGTCTTGTCTGAGCACCAGTCGTCGCCTCGGGGGGTTCAAAGCGCACAGTGATGAAGAGCCAGGACACTAGAGTTCAGTAGGATGGCTGTACAAAGCAGACTTCTTTATGGAACAACATTTTCTCAAACTAAAAAAAAAAAAAATGAAGGAAAATAATGATGTCCTTTGCGTGAAGAACAAGTGCTTCGTTTTCCATACATGTTTTTCCTCTCGTTCCACTGCTGCCGCACGACAGCAGCGTCTCAACACTGTACATCATTTATTGTAGTCCCTTTCTACGTCTCCCAGGTAAAAAGGTCATGTCACGCTGAGGCTGGTTCCCAGTTTGTGAAAAAGTCTTTTTTTTCTCTTCTCTAATGAAACAAGGCAGAAACAAGTGGAGGTGGGAAAAGACGGCAGGAGTTATAATAATGTGCTTCTAGTTTACATTTCTCTAAAATTAGTACAACCAAATGAACCAGGGAGAGGGGGGTATCTACAAGAGAGGGAAAACTCATAGATTTGTCTTGATTGCATTCTTGATCTGAGACATACAGATAATGAGGAGAGCGTGGAGGCTGTGTTCTTGGTAAAAGAATTGTAAAGTGGGGACTTAAGACAGGGAGAGATCTCCTGTCTGGTCACTGATCCGTCCTAGCTTTCTTTGGACCAGCCGCTTTGCTACAAAGGCACAAAAACAAGAGTAAGTTGTGCATCACACGAGTCTGTTTTAACTGTCAATGCTCAGCTCTTACCCATCAGGAGACATTCCGGGTCTTTTAGGCGCCGGTTTTGCTGATGAAACATCTTTGCCAGATTCTATAATAAAACAAAAACAAATATGAAGTCAATGGTATAATGCAATAAAATAAAAATTTAGTTTGACACATTTTAATAGCCAGTGTGTTTTTTGTGAATGGATAATGCAATTTAAAAGTAGCCACAGAAGTGAGGCTATAAATAAATAAATTTCACATTCTGCCAATAATTATTAAGATAACACAACAAATCATGAGATTTAATAAATAATTATTATACAACGTTCAAAACAAAAATAAAGCTTTATTATTTTCCTGTTCGTTCAAAGGTTAAGATTAAAATAAATATTTTTATTATTATCTAACTGCAGTTTTGTGCCCAAAGAAATAATAAAATCTAATTTTTTTTCTTTCCTCATGTATTTATTTTCTTCATATTTTATTTTAATTGATGTTCTGTTTAATTATTTCACAACACATTTTCTTGTGTCTTGAAAAGCAATGCAAATGAAGGGGGCGGACCACAGACAGCGAGACTAAAGCAATCGCCTCCCATTACCGCGGTGCCGTCCTGCTGGAAGTAGCTGTGTGAAGCTGTTTGTCCCGTGGCTGTCAGATTCAGATTCATTTTATTAGCCATGTGCAGTATAAAAACTACATTGGAATACATTTGCAAAAAAGGTACTCTGTGGGCACCGACAGACTAAAGAGCACGATACAATGTAATATAAAATACACATACACTGAAAATAAAAGAATAAAAAAATAAAAAAAATAGCTGACACTGTGGCACCGATCAACAAAAACGATACAAGGGGTAAAAGCAGGAATTAAAGTGCTCTGTTTAGGCACCTAACAGCCTGTGGAAAGAAGCTGTTAGCATAGCGAGATGTCTTGCATCTCAGCGACCGACATCTTCTGCCAGAGGGAAGAAGCTGGAACATGGCTTTCCCAGGGTGGCCAGAAGAGTCATTGATGATTTTAAGAGCTCTGTTTAAAAGTCTGGATTCATAAAGAACCTCCAGAACAGGAAGCTCACAGCCCACGGTCCTCTTTGCAGAGCGGAGCACCTTGTTTAAAGCTCTCTTTTCTTTATCTGTGATGTTTCCAAACCACACAGACACAGAACCAACAAGTAAACTCTCAATGGTGCAGCGATAAAAGTTAAGCAGAATCTTAGAGTTAGTGGTAAATTCTCTAAGTTTCCGCAAAAAGAAGAGCCGCTGACAAGCTTTCTTAACAACTCGGTCAGTGTTTTTAACCCATTTCAGGTCGTTCGACAGAGTTAAACCCAGAAACTTGCACTCCTCTACGATCTGCACCTGGGAGTTGTCAATAACAACAGGAGTGTGAGAACTGCTACGACTGAAGTCAAAGACAAGTTCACATGTTTTTGCAGTGTTCAGCTGGAGATTGTTTACTTTCCTCCACTGAAAAACATGTTCGATCTCTGCTCTATAAGAGGAATCATCATTGTCACTGATGAGACCGATGATGGTGGTGTCATCAGCATATTTGACGATCAAGTTTGAGTCAGAGGAAGCCACACAGTCGTGAGTGTACAAAGTAAAAAGCAAAGGACTCAAAATATATCCCTGAGGAGAACCAGTGCTCACAGAAACGACATCAGAAAAACAGTCATTGATTTTCACTCTCTGAGATCTGTCAGTTAACCCTATATGCCCGCGTGCATCGGTGCCGATGCACGCGCACATGTTTTACAAATGATCAATTTACTCGCGAACGGTAAAACGTAGCAACATACTTTTTTTTTTCCTCTGTGAAGTACGTATTCAGGGCTTTCCGAAACTAGTTTTGATTTGTCTGTGCGATGCACGGAGGATAAACTACGTTTGTCTGAAAGTCCGTGTCCAAAGCGTGACCCGTGAGGTACAAACAGCTGTGAGATACAAACACACGGGGACTGCCAAAGATCGTCAGAGAGTGTGATCTCTCACTCCTCTGTCTGTACTTGTTGTCCCACAGTTGAAACTACAGCTGCGATTGCAATAACCGGCTGAAGAGTGCGCATTATTGATAAAGACGATAATAAATACAGTAAAATTACATTATGTGTATATGATGTATATAAATATATCTATTATATAAATAATTGATGTTTTTTTTTTTTTTGGCTCAGTTTCTTATGTTTTACGTTTTTTACAGCTGTACTACAGAAGCAACCCCAGCATTATAGACAAACTGCTTCAGGAAGGGCATCAGGAGTACAGAGTTTTTTGCTTTTATAGTGGAATTTTGTAAAAAGTATAATAGTTAGGAGGTTCAATTTTTTTCCCCATTATCCCCAAGACCATAAATAACATTTCTATGCAGTGTAAAAAGTTGTTTATAGCATTTCATTGTGTTTTTTCAATACATTTTTGTTAAATTGATTTTCCGTTTGATTTTTTTCTTTGTCTTCATGATTCCACAATTTTTATATAATTCATATGACAGCTTTACAATATGAATATTCTAAAACCCCAGGTTGTACTGAAAAAAACAAAGTATACTGCTTGACTCTGCATCAAAAGATGACTGTTTTATGAACAATTATACACAAAGAAAACCAGGCGAGGAAAGTTCCCCAAAATTAACCATGTGCATAGAGGGTTAAAAAGCTAAAAATCCATTTACACATGGCAACACTTAAACCGAGAGACATGAGCTTTTCAACCAATATGCTTGGGACAAGACAATTAAAAGCAGAGCTATAATCAATGAAAAGCATTCTCGCGACAGATTTACTAGTGTCCAGGTGACTGTAGACAGAGTTCAGAGCAAAGGAGATGGCATCCTCCACACTCCTGTTCTGTCTGTAAGCAAACTGGAGCAGGTCAACACTCACAGGGATCTGGCTCTTAATGAAGTCCAGCACGAGCCGCTCAAAAGTCTTCATAAGAACAGACGTGAGGGCCACAGGGCGGTAGTCATTGAGACATGTCAGAGATGGATGTCGGAAGATAAATCTCCGTCCCAGTCTCAGGTCTTTTGCAGACTCCAACAGGTTTTCTTCCAGAATGGTCCTGTATTTGGCTCCATCCATCTTCCCATCAATTTTAGCCATCTTCCCTGTCCCTGCTGAAGAAAAGCAGGCCCAAACCATGATGCTGCCACCACCATGTTTGACAGTGGGGATGGTGTGTTCAGGGTGATGAGCTGTGTTGCTTTTACGCCAAACATATCGTTTTGCATTGTGGCCAAAAAGTTCGATTTTGGTTTCATCTGACCAGAGCACCTTCTTCCACATGTTTGGTGTGTCTCCCAGGTGGCTTGTGGCAAACTTTAAACGAGACTTTTTATGGATATCTTTGAGAAATGGCTTTCTTCTTGCCACTCTTCAATAAAGGCCAGATTTGTGCAGTGCACGACTGATTGTTGTCCCATGGACAGACTCTCCCACCTCAGCTGTAGTTATCTGCAGTTCATCCAGAGTGATCATGGGCCTCTTGGCTGCATCTCTGATCAGTCTTCTTGTTTGAGATGAAAGTTTGGAGGGACGGCCGGGTCTTGGAAGGAGTATCAGACCACTGCAAATCTACCATTTTAATATAATTGCTTGCACAGCGCTCCTTGAGATGTTTAAAGCTTGGGAGATCTTTTTGTATCCAAATCCGGCTTTAAACTTCTCCACAACAGTATCTCGGACCTGCCTGGTGTGGTCCTTTGTCTTCATGGTTCTCTCTGCGCTTTAAACAGAACCCGAGACTATCAAAGAGCAGGTGCATTTATACGGAGACTTGATTACACACAGGTGCATTCTATTTATCATCATCAGTCATTTAGGACAACATTGGATCATTCAAAGATCCTCACTGAACTTCTGGAGTGAGTTTGCTTCACTGAAAGTAAAGGGGCCGAATAATATTGCACGCCCCACTTTTCAGTTTTTTATTTGTTAAAAAAGTTTAAATTATCCAATAAATTTCGTTCCACTTCACGATTGTGTCCCACTTGTTGATTCATGACAAAATAATTAAATTTTTAGATCTTTATGTTTGAAGCCTGAAATGTGGCGAAATGTTGAAAGGTTCAAGGGGGCCAAATACTTTCGCAACCCTAACCCACTGTATAAACCCAGTGGTAAGTTTAGCTTTGATTATTACATTTGAGAAAACCAATGGTTGCTGTTTATAAGTGACATGAGTGTAAAAAGTAACGGCTACATTTGCAAGCCTCGTTAGCCTGTTGGCCTGTTAGCCTCTGTAGCCTTTTAGTCAGATACAAAAGCTCTGACATTGCTCTTGACAGGACCTGTAATGCCCTTTCTGCATATGTGCATTCATTTCATGTTTGTCCTTGTTTACGTTGGATTTGACATTAGTAATTGCGAATTTGCGAATAAGTAATTCGCAAAGTGGCGCTTGTGGGATTCTTTCTGGAATTGGCCAGAAGTTAAGATAAGATAAGAATTCCTTTATTCGTCCCACAGTGGGGAATTTTTGATGTTGCAGCGCACATATAGGACAGTAGTAAGAGCACACAGGGAGCACACACAATATATACAAATAAGTAGTAGCTATGTTTCTTAGCTAACATAACTAGCTGTAGATGCTGAAAATGCTTCAATACCAGTCAAAATATATATATGTAGTAGTGCAGTTATATACTGTACAGTTAAATAGTGCAGGATAATAAGTAGATAAGGTAAAGTGACATAAGGTAAAGTTAGCAAACTGTTCATTGTGATACACAGTAATGCTTTTAGATAAGCATTTACACAAAAACAATAACGCATTCGTTAAATGAACTGGCCTTATTTTCAATTATTAATACATTTTCATTTTACGTGGGGGTCACGAGTTGAGAGCTCTGGCTTCACATCCCACAAGATCATCCTTATTAAGTAAAATAAAAACCTCAAAACCAGTGAATTACTAATGTATTTTTCTTCAATTCCAGGTGTGTAAGTAAGTAATCTTTATTTATATACCGCCTTTCACAGACCAGAGTCACAAAGCGGTTTACAATTGTTATTTTTGGCATTTGTCTCTCACTCCACACAGAGATTGGAGTGAAGTCGCCAGTACAGGAGGCACATGCCAGATCTATTGTACATGTTTTTAGTGGTAGGGGAAACCGAAGTACTTGGAGGAAACCTACGCAGAGAACATGGGAGAACATGCAAACTCGACTCAGAAAGGCCCTGGTCCGACCGGGATTCAAACTCAGGACCTTATTGCTGAGAGGCGAGAGTGCTATCCACTCAGCCACCGTGCCGTGGTGGCCTGATGGACAACCCGTAAGAGAAAATCTTTATCCTGTGTTGCATATGGGTTATGATTGTTGTGTAAGTATATATTGATATTTTTAATATCCTTCATTGTTTTGTTTAACTAATGCACAGCTCATTTTTTCTGTTAGTTAACCCTTTAAGCGCCAAAGTCGCAATATTGCGACAAGCAACATTGCTCACTTAAACAGGCTGTATGTAAAAATGTGGTGCAGAATCTTGTTAATACTTTTCACCAGGGGTTAGTGGACATGTGTGCCTGTAATATGAGCAACATTTGTGGGTGTGGTTATATTGAAAGTTTTTGAGTAAATTGAGTTCGTAAAACACCTGCGACGCTGCAGCGCGGAGGCGAAGCAGCAGCGGTAGAGCTGAGAGGAGCGAGAGCAGAGCAGAGGGAGAGAGTGTTTTTTCTTTTACTCACAATGTCTTCAGCACCAGAGAAGTACTTGGTCTGGTACTGGCTCACTCAGAATCAGAGGAGGAAGACACGCAGGTGTCCAGTGAAGCAGACACGGACATTATTGGTGACGGGGAGACCGCGCTCCATAGTCCACAATCAGCCCCTGTACAGCGGCTGCTTGTCCTCCGTGTGGCCGCGGTAGAAGCATTCTGTGAACGCCAAGCAGGGTCCGTGGTGGAGGGGACAGGGGCATCATAACACCAGGCATGTGGGAGAAAGTAGCGGGGGTAGACATCCACGGGGAACACGGGAGACGCGGGAGAAGTCGCGGGGGAGCCGCGGGAATAAAAACACATCGCTTTTCGCGTTCACTGCCTTTACCAACAGTGATGATGAGGATCAAGGCAGTTCTTGAGAGAAAATAATCCACAAAAGTGGATCAGAAGTGTTGAAGAGCCTGTTGTTTCTTGTTGAGATGATCTGACATGTTCTGAGCCCATTCATTTCATCTCTCTGTTTCTAAACCATAAATCCAGGAGCCTCATTTCCACCGAGAAAAATAGTAAGCCCACCACTTCTTTGAAAGGGAAATATTGAAACCAAACTCCAGATTTCATGACTGTAAACTATAAAGAGAGCTGTCTTGATCACTGAAGGTCTTTGAAAATAATACAATTCCGTATGGCCGCGAACCAGTGCTAAAACATTATCTATAATCTGGATCAGGGAATTTATATCTATCCCAAATTCATTTCATACTAAAGATATTTCACACTGACTGTTTATAGTATTCCCTGATCTAAAAAAAAACTCCCAAACTACAGCTTTTTGAAGTTTTTATACAATAATTAACATTTTCCAAAATGGCCGCCACCTTGATGACGTCACAATATGCAAATTAGATGACGAATCAACTTCCATCCCAAAGTTTGGTTCAAACTGAAGATATTTCTAATTTACAGTATGCCTTTATCTCAAACCATTTTAAAGTTATAGCCTTTTGAAATCTTGAAATCAAAATTGTATATTTTCTTGAAAAAACTCTGGCGCCTAAAGGGTTAACACTTGCTAGACCCCGCTGCTAAGACTCTGCTCAGCACTCTCCAAGGCCTAAACTCATGTAGTAATAAGCATTTTTATGAACTACTTAGAAAAAAAATTGTGTATAGCTTCTTTAACCTTTGAACGAACAGGAAAATAAAGCTTTATTTTTTGTTTGGAACCAAAAAACTTTGTATGATAATAATAATAATAATATATATTTATTTAATCTCATGATTTGTTGTGTTATCCTGATAATTATAGGCAGAATGTGACATTATTCATTCATTTATTTATAATTTTGACAGTTTTGGTCCTCCATAGCTGCCACTCTGAGCGATCTGTCCCTCTGATCACTACCACTTTCACACATAAATTCATAAGAGAATAAGTAGGTGAAGTGTCTTGCCCAAGGAAAACGTCCCAATCATGGATCTATAATAAAATCTGGATAGGGTATAACTAGCTTATAGCTGTACCACCTATGGGCACAGGGGGCTCCCGTGGTACTGCAGACTAAATTCATGTGGGCTACTCAGAAAAATGTCCAGTAGAACTCAATGTAAACTAAAACAGCTCGACCTCAGCTGACAGAGAACCTACAGCTTTCACAAAGGTCTATACATTTCTATAAATCCACTTAGTGCAAAAAAACTGATCGTTTGCCAAATTATATATACTTTTAGTGTGTTTTGTCACAGCTCCCACTTACTATAATAAAAATTGGAAGGCGAGGGGCTCTGCTTACCTTGCAACCATCGAACTTGAGTAGCAGGTCCGTAGCCCTTCTCATTGCGAGCAGCAATGCGAAAGATGATGGCAGGCTTGGTTGTGTAATCAATGTGAGCGTTTGAGAGGCTGGAAGACTGCACCAGGCAAGAGGGACTGGGTCCACAGTAAACACGCATAAAGGCTAGTTGGGCTGGGGTGGAGGCTTTGGCCTCTGTTGTCTGGCTGCTCTGGATGGCCAAGTAAACTGAATATTCAATGATCTTTCCAGAGGTGACAGATGGAGGCTCCCAGGTGAGGTGGGCTCCATCAGGACTCTGTTAGACAAACATAGTTAGTGCTAATTCAGTAACACATATCGACTATTACATATTACAAAGACTCACCTTGCTGATTTTGATGGCACAAGGAGCTCCAGGGAAGCCTGGTAGACAGGTCTTGAAAGCAGATATCTCAGAGAAAGATCCACGACCACAAGCATTTATTCCTGCTACGCGAAATTTGTAAGCTGTTCCAGGCTGGAGCTCCATTTTCTTCATTTGGCTGTAATCTGGCATGACACCAGAGTCATCCTACATAATGTGACAGTAATTATTGATGAGATTTGGATAATTACAGATGTATCATCATATTGGATGTACTGAACAAAACTTACATCTCCCAGAGAGTCATCAGATGGCACGTAGTAGTGGGTGACAACCATATTTGTCACTTTTACAATTCCAACATCAAACCACTGGTTTTCCTTCTTTAGAACAGGCTTCACTGGAGATGGTTGAGGAGCTTGCTTCTACAAAAGATAAAATATAGCATAAATATATTAGAAATTACATGATTTTGTGTGTTCTTTATCATTTTTATAATGATATTTCGAATTGCATTTAAAACAATGATTTACCTCTCCTTCTAGCCCATTGGCTACTTCTGCTAGAGTTGCTGCTGCTTGCAGCTTGGCAGGACTTGCTACTGAAACAGAGCCTGCAAATGTGCTTGTTGGGGCTAAAGCTGCAATAGACACATAATGTAATTATGATATGAAGTAATATATATAAAAAAATATATATTTTCCTTACTATTAGCGACAGTATGTGGGAGCAAAGACGCTACTGCACTTGTGACAGCAGCAGCCATTTCATTATGGCCATTGCTTTCCACTGAGGGGTCATTAAGGCTGTCCGCAGGGGCAAGTCCTTCAGTTGGCATACTGGTGTCCACCGCACTCTGCTGCGCAGCAGCATGAGCCTCCTGAAGCTGCTGTTGTTGCTGAACCAGAGCTGCGAGCTCCTGCTGTGTCAGCATTATTGGGATACTGGTGGTTTGTTGGCCCTCTCCTGCCGAGCCCCCCTCATCTGAACACAGAAATATCAGCATTTAAAGCTGACTGAAACATCAATGGACAACAAGGCTGGACTTACTCATGACTGCCTGCTGAGCAGCCTGGAGGACGGCCTGAATGGCTAATGCCTGAGCTTCTTCAGTTGCTGCAGCCTGAGCAGCGGCTTCAGCAGCAGCTGTTACAGCTAGCTCCTCATCTGACAATCCAGTCACCATAATTGAGGGAGTACCTTGACCTTCAGACATCAGCTCTGAAGGAAGGTTCATCACTGTGCCTGAACCTGCCTCTCCCTGTGTCTCCATGGCAGAGTCTCCTTCTGCAGAGGTATCACCTGATTGAGCTACTTCCGTTTGCATGGGTTCCTCTGTAGAGCTGGAAGCAGCATTTGCACCTTCAGCAATCGAAGAGATCGACTAAAATAAATGAATAAAAAACTGTCAGAACTCACATCCCTTTAAATAAAACAACTGGCAGAGTAGTGTCTTTACTGGCACTGAAGGTCCAGGTGCAGGAGTAGACTGGGTCACAGTAGTAATTGCCCTGCCCTGGGTGGAGCTCACAAGGCTAGTGGCTGCTGTGGAAGCAGCCTCCTCTGGGCTGGTAATTTCTGTTCCTTCTTCCGTCTGATTGGCTAGGAGCAGAAAGAATAACAGTAAGAGCTGCCGCTAATAACTCAATTGTTATGGATTAATCCATTGTTTTCTTTGTGTTCTTTATTTTAATGTAATGAAAACACACTTTTTATTGGAACGACAGAATGTTTTATTTTTCTTAAATATGTAAGTTTAAGCCAAGCAATATAGAAGATCTCTCTCAAATGATTTTCTGCATCTTGTGTGTGATGTGGTTTACAAACCTGGGTCGTCAGCAGTCTCCATATTGCAGGTAGCAGTGGTGGCGGTATTGGTGGTCCCTGTCTCGTGGGTTTCACGTGGAGGGTTGGAGCACACTCTCTGAGCGAGACCCGATGATGTACTGGTCTGGTCACCTTCCATATTAGAGGAGGCCGTAGACTGCGTGTTTGCGGTTCCTGTCTCATGGGTTTCACGTGGAGGGTTGGAGCAAACTCTTTCAGCGAGACCTGATGATGTACTGGTCTGGCCACTACCCATATCAGAGGAGGCCGTAGACTGCGTGTTTGTGGTCCCCGTCTCGTGGGTTTCTCGTGGAGGGTTGGAGCACACTCTTTGAGCGAGACCTGATGATGTACTGGTCCGGCCACCTCCCATATTTGATGAGGCCGTGGACTGCGTGTTTGCGGTTCCTGTCTCGTGGGTTTCACGTGGAGGGTTGGAGCACACTCTTTCAGCGAGACCTGATGATGTACTGGTCTGGCCACTTCCCATATCAGAGGAGGCCGTAGACTGCGTGTTGGTGGTCCCCGTCTCGTGGGTTTCACATGGAGGGTTTGAGCACACCCTCTGAACAGATCCTGCTGGGCCAGAACTCATATTGGACGAGGCCTGGGTGGTGGTGTTTGTGGTGCCAGTCACATGAGTCTCACACGGAGGGTTTGAACACACTTTCTGGACTCCCATGTTGGACGATGCTGTTGTAGCAGTGTTTGTTGTGCCAGTTTCATGAGTTTCACATGGTGGGTTGGAGCAGACGCGAGGTGCTGACATATTAGCAGAGGCTGTTGTGGCAGTGTTGGTGGTTCCAGTTTCGTGCGTCTCACAGGGAGGGTTTGAACACACCAGAGTAACTGTCCCAGATGCATCTCCTGTTGCACTTGCTTCAGTAGAACTGGGTTGGTCAGATGTTGGTGAAGCCAGGATGGATACCGGGAGGTCCTGCACAGGCTGAGTCTCGACTCCACTTGGAGTAGTAATAAGAGTTACCTGTGTGGGCTGGGAAACAAAGATTCAACAATTACATTTAATACTGATTTTGTAATAATAAGATGCCGTTGAGCTTTTGGGCTGGGGACTGGTTCAGTGGCTTGGACTTATTATTAGGATGAATGTAGGGCTCATTGCAGCTCAAGAGAAACAATAAAGCGTATCCATTGCAACTTAGCGTCATTTGAAAGCACAGTGGAACCATACCTGCACTGTGATAGTAGAGGAGGGCAGCGTTGAGGCAGCAGTCAGGGTTGTCTGAGGGGCAGACACTGTAATGGCAGCTGGATTGATGACATGACTGGACAGGGTGGCTATAGTCCCCAGTGTGGTGATAGGGGTGACTAACGAAGCAGTGGAAGAGTCTGCAGAGGCTCCAGACTGACTGGTGGAGACGGCACCAGACACTGTTCCAAGAGTGGTGACACCTAACGCAACAGGGCAGACGTGTGGGTTTAAAGTGGCAATGGACTTTACATTTAATAAAGTCAAGAACCAAATAAGTGTAGTACCTGTAGTGCCCTTCACAACCAGAGTAGTCACAGTGGGTTTGACGGATGACACGTTTCCTGGAGTAACAAGGCGAACACCACCAACTGTGCCCATGGGCAGAGTGCGAAGAATAGTTCCAGGTTGCCCAGGAGCGCCTTTTAGAACCACCTGCAAAACAAAGAATTAAAAGTGAGTGTGGTCATTAAAACCAGCAATGGACTCAGCAATTGAAACAGAATCAATCCAGGTTTACTCCATATACTTCAGATGTGGTGAATTCATCTTACCAATATTTACTGTGTAATTTCCATGCCATTATTATCATAAGCTAGTTATTTGAATTTTGACATTTGTGAAAAGTCCTATACTTGCGTGACAGGGATTGGTAACTGCGATAGAATACATTTTAACATTTTTGTTGTTTTAGAGCTCTACTAGAGTATAGTTCTGTCAAAACACTCAACTTAATCTCACTTTTGAAATGGCCATAAAAGATTGAAACTCCAATTAGCTATGTGGTGAGAAAGGACAAGACAAATGCATTAATATAAATAAATGCGTGTTTTTCGGCTAAAACTCCAGCACTATAAATAGTTGCGACCAGGTATAGTTTATATTTGCAATCACTTAAACTTCGATGGGGATTGTTAGTGTGGAAATTTGTGTCCGGAACCTATCGATTCTATGGAAGAATCCTGCTTTTATCTGTGAAGTGGTTGGCACACTTGATATTAAACCTGGGGTTAAGTTGACAAGGGTATAATTACACTTACCTGTGTCAGACCTTGTTGACCTGCTGTTGCCAATTTTGGAACCGCAGTGATGATTTTACCGGGAGTCCCAGTGGTCATTACTTTGGTTGTCAGGATTGTAAAGGGTGATTTCAGACTTGTACTACTGGTCACACCTGCATTGGGAGAAGGAATATACAAAATTAGCCTTTTTAAACAATAACAAGAAAGCTTTACATTATTGTAAGTATATAAGGTCATTATGGGAGTAAATAATAATACGCATCACTCCGGATTGTAGCCATGGGCTAATTTACATCCGTCATCCCACATTTGCACTCAAACAAACACTTGTTCACCCTGAACTATTGCACATGTTTTTATTGGTAGGGGAAACCAAAGTACTCGGAGGAAACCTACAGACACGGGCAGAATATGCTAACTCCACTCAGAAAGGCCCTGTTTCGACTGAGATTCGAACCCAGAACCTTCATGCTGAGAAGCAAGAGTGCTATCCACTCAGCCACCGTGCCACCAAATTGAGGATTTGAAGCCAGAACAAAGAATGTTTGGAAAATTTGAATGATGGGGAAAGAAGTCATTGGCCTGCTTCATATATACCCACAAGCTAACAGCTAACAAATTATTCCCAACTGGTTTAAGTTGGCTCTAATCATGCATCTTTGTTCACCACAAATATGAACATTATTGAAACTTGAAGATGAAATACCCGTGCCTCCAGCCTGACTCATGATGGCGGACATGGGGATGGTCTTAATGATGGTGGTGCCCTGCTTGGTGGTGGTTGGCGAGACACCACTGATGTTTAGGATTGTAGGCTTGTTTCCTACGCCTCCTGCTTGTGATGTGGTGATGATAGTTGTCGGTTTTCCATCCGCTGAGGTCACCAATTTCAAGATTGTTCCGGCTGGAAGGGGACCCTTCGTCTATGAACAGAAGAAAAATTATGTATACTCTACGGATTTCTGGGTTAATGTCTCCTGTCAGTCTGCCCTCATTCACTCATCTGACCTGTATGATCTGTGTGAGAGGGTTAGAAGAGGCCTGGCCTGTGACAGCTGAGGTCTGCACTGGCTTGGTTTGTACAACAGACATCATCTTGCCAAGGTTGGAGATCTGTCAACAGAAAGAAACTCCATTTCATGAGTCACAAGAAAACCTTGGAGAACAGGCAGCCCGGTGGCCAACATTTTATCCATTAATGGAGTTAAATTAATTTTAGTCGTCCCACTGTGGGACAACTAAAGGATCCCTCTTAATTAGGACAACCGTTACTCCTCCCAATGGATTTAAACAGAAATAATAGAAACAATATTGTTTTGTTTTTTTACATAAAAAATAGTGGATTATCTTACCAAAGTTCCACTGCCACCCATTGTGAGAGGACTCTTGACCAAGGTGATGGTCTTGGTAACTCCACCAACTACAGTAGTGACCACTTGGGCCTGCTGGGCAACTGTAACAGCCCCTGACTTGTGGACAGTGATGATTGGTCTAGTCGTAGTAGGAGAGGCTGCAGTGGCTGTGCCAACCTGGGCAGCAGCGGTCTTGAGCATCCTGGTGGCTGGGTTGCTCACCTATAATGTATACAAATTTAGTGTTAAGAAATAGAAAGCAAGATAGAATATAAGAAATGCTGTATGTACCATGACTGGAGAGGCGACTTTAACGGTAGCAGTCCCGGGGGAAACCGCCATAGTCTTCAATATGGTAGCACCAGCTGGGACATTGAGAACAGTCCCCGCAGGAGGAGGAATCTTCTGAGTAGCTGCAGCAGCTGCTGCTAATGCTGCCATGCCACTCATCTGTGGGCTACTTCCAATTGGCTGAAAACAAATGATGACAACTTTTATTGACCAATTTGGAACTCTTCACAGCATATGCACAATGGTAAGCTTGGAGTTATACATATTCTGCATTTCATCTTTGTGTGCCTGTTCTGTTTATCTATGGAGTGGAAAGGTTAATGTAATTATATCAAATTGTGTACTCAATGAAGTCATCAGTGTGTAATAGTGACATTTACAACTGCTTGGTCATGCATTTTAAACATGTTATAGTTTTTGCACTCACAGATCCTTGAGTTGTCTGGGCAGGAACGACCATTCTTACACCAGGTGGAAGAGATGTTACCGTCAATGGGGACTTCCCAGGCTGATTGGGGCGAACTGTGACTAATGAAGCTCCCGCAGACTGTTGCGCTGCAACCTTTAGAACAGCTAGGATACAAAATGGACAAAAACATGTTGAGCATATGTGCACCAGTTTGAAAAAGACCAAGTCATGAGTTAAATTTTATACCGGTGTGTGAAAGACTTTGTGCAGCGGCGGTTGGAGCAGGACTCTTGGGAGAGTTCACAAGCTGAGAGGGTGTTGCACTCACAAGAGGAGAAGCTGGAGTTGCAGGGATGTCATACTTCTGTAGCTGCAACAAATAAGTATCTGCAGTGGAGACTGCCCCCCAGCTCACCTCCAGGGAGTTTGTGTTGGCACGGACCAACTGAACTCTGGCTGGAGCATGTGGCCGCTCTGAAATTTAAAGCCATTAGTAAATATATCAAATCAAGTCATCAGAACCAAAGACTAGTTTGAAAACATACCTGTTTCAAGGTACCACAAGTCTTTACAGCACACTTGGTTATTCCATGCCTTTCGATAACCATCACGTCCACTCCAAACATATAGACGTGAATTGATAGAAACGGCACAATGACCTGCACGGGCCCTGGGGATGTTATCCTCAAGAGTGTCCATGAGGACCGTTTCCCAACACATGGAATCTATGGAGTGAACATTGAAATATAAAATCACAACCAGTTTGTTTTGGTGTAAAAATATTATCAATTCTAAACCTACCAAGATTTAGACAAGCAAGAGTGTTGGTGCACTTCCATTCTTTTTCATGGGTTGCCACTTTAACATCATCCATTACCAAAGGAACCCATCCTCCAAAAACATACATCCTGCCAAATGGTTAATTATTATTTCATTTTTTTCTAAACAGTTCCATTGCAAAATGCCCATTCTATGGGAATTACGTAGGATCACTGTGTAATAATGTTCATACGACTTACTTGTTTGTAATGGTAGTTGCAGAGTGAAGACTTCTGGGCAGTGGTGCTGTGCCATTAACTGATGGTTTATTCCATGTCAGTGTATCTAAAAAGATAAAGTAAAATCAAAAAATATGTCAAAGAAATTCAAATCGGAGGCAACTATTGACAATGAATTGATCAATTGCTGCCTTCTTCATGTTGTCTTTTAAACTAATGATTACCTATCCTATATTTTCTTTATATACGTATTTTCACGTGGGTCCGGTTTCACGAACAATTTGAGTCTAGGGAATAGGGATGTAAATCGGTGACCGTTTAACCGGTGGTTGACCGTCACAGCGTTAACCGGTCAAAGCTGTCGGTTAAAAAAGAGAAAAGGGGGAGAGGGGAGGTCTCTTCATAACGCTATTTTAAGCCCTATTTGCACGATGTGACGAGCGGGTCCCTATCTAGCTGTGTGCGCCAATGTAACAGTAAACTCTGGGCCGACTCTCACGCCGTACGCGCCACATATGCACGCACACATGTACACGCACACACACACATCCCCCCCCCCTCCATTGACACGTAACATCCACACGCATCATCTCTCCCCTGTGTTACCGTCTGCTAGTTGCACACTGGTGCGGGTCAGAACTACATTGGAGCTTATATTTACACACACATACATACATGTATTGCACACACACACATAGCTTACATATACACACATACATACATGTATTGTACACACACACATACCGGTCTGTCGCGCTCCTCTGTGTCACGGAGCCCGAAGCATTGTTGCGAATACACGGCTCCAGTCAAACCACATGGACCATGTTTGTGCTGCTGGTCCTTGGCATCAGCTCCACACTGATCACTTTTAAACTTTAGCGGAGACCTGCGAGACGCGGCTCGTCACTCGCTGCCCTGACCATGTGGACGAGCTGTCTTTTGCTTAAAAATGCTTTAAGCCGCAGCACAGAATAATGGGAAGATTAAAACAGCAGTTCTCTGTGCGCAAAGGTGCCCAAGCTGTTGCGGGTTTTGGTGCCGCTGTCTCCGCTCTGATCCATTAGAATGCTCAGCTGCACATATGAAAAGTACGCAGCTCGAAATGGCTGTTATTTCAAAGAACGTGGACTATTTTAAACTACGCGGTTAACCGGTTTCAACCGGTTAATGAGGCTCGGTGGTCGGTCATGAAAATTCATAGTTTTTTACATCCCTACTAGGGAATGTCCTGAGACTGTTGTTTTAGTTACATATATAAAGTCTGATGCTTACACTTGCTTTGTAGAGCACACAAGACATTCTTTTACCCTCTCATTTTTAGAACCACTGAAAGGTGCTTTTCAGAATCTTATAATGTGATTAAGATAATAGAAAATGTATTTGTCCCACAGTGGGGAAAGTTCTCAGGTGTCTCAGTGCTCTTTAGAAGATAATCCAAATAAATATAAAAGTCAAATCCAATAAATTACTAGAACTTCATAACGATCACTTACCAATATCAAGTGTCCAAAGATCTCCAAGTCGACAACCACTCATTCCTCCATAGATTATTAAACGCGATTTTCTGCTTGTCTTTTCTGTGTATACAACAGCTGTGTGGCTTTCACGAGGAGGCGGCAAAACACCATATGTTATTGGAATATCCCAGCCAACCACACTGGAGCCAGGGCGAAGTTCCAGTGTGTACAAGTCATTTAGGTATCTGGAAAGTAGAATGAAAAATACAAAGGAATTATTGTGGGAATGAGCTAAAGTATTTGAGATTGCTTTGCTATAGAACAGGGAAAGTACTTGCACGTCAAAGTCCACAATTTAAGAATGAAAGAAACTGTAATTGTCTGATTTATTCAAAAGACTAATATGCGGTTCTCATATTCAAAAGTAATCCCTAACCCTAGTGTAGACTGGTGTTCTGTTGAGTTGGCCTGCCAGAAGTTCAATATAAGAGCCATGTCTACTCTTACCCATAACCACAAAATCATAAATCTGACCTGAATCACTTTTCTCCACTATGACATCTCACTCCGGGCATAACTGTTTGCTCAAACATAGAAGCACTAAACCAGGTGAGGGCCAAATATATGTGAAAGTTTTGTGTACAAACTTAATGTGCAAAAATAATTGTATATTTATTGAGCGGTTTAAGAAGACATTGGAATTGAGAGTTCTTCTGGATCAATTTGCCCATTAGAAAATGGGACATAAAATCATAATTGTACCTGGGAATATTGTTTTTTGGATCCTCGCTGTCATTGGCAAGGCCCCCAAATAGGTAACACTTGTTACCCACAAGAGAAAAACTGTGCCCAAGCCTCGGACAGGGGGGAGGGCCATTCTTCGGGTTTTTAGCTTTTAACTTTTTCCACTCCCATCTGCTGGCCTAAAAGTAAATAAAAAAAAAAAAAAGATTATAAAATGATATATATTTGCAATGTTAAAAAAGGACTTAGTATAATTACCTGAAGTTCATATAGATCATTGCTGTACTTTCCATATTCCACCATACCCCCAAACACCAGTAATCTAGTGCCATCACAGACAAAACCATATGCAGCACAACCAGGAGGGATGTCACCACGAACTGCTGGTATGAACCACTGATTGGTAGCTACAAGTTAAAATAAAATAAGATGAAGTTAGCGGAAATAATCATAAAAAAACAATTACACAGTTGTACATAAATACATATACAAAACAATTTCTAAAAGGAAAATAAAAATGCTGCAATGAAGTGCTAATGCGTGTTTGGAGTGAAATAATAATGACATGTAAAGCATCTTTGAGTGTCAAAAAAAGCGCTATATAAAACCCTAGACCAGGGTTTGGCAACCATTTTGGCTTTGTGATTGGCTCCTGCAAAACCAACAGATACAGTAAGATATGTCAGCTGATTTATCTGATAGCCAGATGCCATCATCAATTTGTAGATCCCTGAACTAGATACACTGAAGCAGCTACAAAGCAAGCCTTTGATACATGCCCCTAAGTGTCTTATTAGATGAAATTAGGGCTGGGCAATAAATCGAATTTAGGCATTTAATCGGCTATTGAAAAAAATCGAATGTGAAACATTTGAAAATCATTAAATTGAATGAAGGATATTGTGAGAATTCCTGCAGCACAGGAATTATACTTGCAATATCAGCACAGTCAAGACTTTTATAATACGTATTGAGGGAAACAAATTGAAAATAGTTTTGAAACTTTAATTTTGATTTGTTAAGATCAAAAAATATTTTTAAGGGCAAAGTCTGTCTTTGGTGACTTTAATAAAAATCAATTTAAAATCGAAATTGTCCAAAGCAGAAAATAAAATTGAGATTTTACTTTTTTGCCATATCGCCCAGCCCAAGATGAAATCATTATTGTATCAGCATGAAGTGGTGAGGAGCATTAAGGGTGAAAAGAGAGTGCAATCTCCATTGAGGGACAAGCCTGCCTGTTACTAACTAACTCCAATTAGAGTAGACATGCAGTTCTTGCATGTCTGATAATGGAGATTGTCAGATGTAAAAAAAAAAAATTAAATGAAATTAAACAGCGCAATTTTTTTAGCAGCTTCTGCAGTTTTTGTTGTTACTTGTTTCACTTGCCATGGAATGGTAATCCTTTCAATCCTAACTATATAGCTGGTAAAAGGTTATAAGACTAATAAATCCTTCATTTTGTCTCATGGTGGGGAAATGTCTGTGTTGCAACACAGATTAAAGGACAGTAGGAAAAAGAAGCACCAAACACAAAATAAGATATGTCCTATGCCCTATTTAAGCCACAGAGAAATAACAATACATTAGGAGCTTTGCAATGAATCTTACCATCTAAAAAAAAACGAACTCATGCTAAGTTTCATTAAAGCCCGCCATTTTTAAGACATTATGGAACATGTCCAGCAGAGGGGGCACACTCTTCTACCGTTAGGTCTCTTGGTACTCAACAATATCAATCAATTTACTTTAAAATTAAAATATTTTATGAACAAATAAGTTGTGTTTTTGTATTTTGATTTTTACAAACACAAGCATAACTTCATAAAGTTATCAAAGTTAAATAATGCCATAATAAAATGCAATTTCAAAATCACCTGTGTTGTAGACATGTAGTTCATCCACTATTCCTTCGTTTCCACCACCAAAAACGACCATAAGTTCTTTGATGGCCACAGCTCGATGTCCGTGTCTGGGTCGCGGAACTGGACCAGACCACCCGAGGACGCGCTTCCACCGCGGCTGCAAGACCGATGCAGTGGTCCCAGTCACCGCGGAGCCAGGAACAGACATGACTGTCATGGGGAGATTTATCACTTATAAGAATAGGGAAAATTATACAACTTCGGCTAGTAACATAATAATAACAATAATAAATATTAAATTTAAGCATAGTAGCTAGATCCACTAACACATTTATAACACTAAATGTTAGTTTACGTAACAAATTTTGTTTAAGATTAAACAAAACATGAATAAAAAATATTATAGATTCGAACGAAACCTATGAATGAAAGCAGCCATCTTGCACCAAACAAACCGCGCTAACAGTGTAGCTACAGCTAAATAGCTGTTAGCTAAGCTGAAAAATGGCGGAAGAATAACTGAACAAATAACTTTTAATAATTGTACACAAAATAGTAATTGGATTACAAACACCGAGACGGTCCTGACGCATGCACCTATAAACATCCAACCTTGAACAAACATTTAATTCAAACTATATTGAGTTAGCAATACACTGCTAATTTCATGCCTCCCTGGGAATCGCCATAGTGTAGCTACTAGCTAGTATGCTCAGTAATCTTTGCATTCATATTCGCAGCTTATGGGGTAATATGGAAGCACCTAGACAGTCGTACTGCGTTCAGATCAAGAGTTGATCAAGTATGTTAACTACTGTAGCAGGCTTCTATGTGCGCTTATAAACATACTAAAGGTACGTTCCGTTACCCAAAAGACAAGCTAGCGCTAGCCATTTTTGCAGATGCTAACATCGTTAGCTAAACGATTGGCATCTGTCAAACTTTTACCCGAATATACAAATACGCGCAATAAAATTACGATGCTATGCGTTTTGCATGTACAACCTGACACATACCAGATTGCAAATGCTCAACCTAAGGAAATCTAGACGTAGCAAAAGTGCATAAACAATGTGTTATTATGATTCATGCCGTCTCTGGAAGCAGCCATCTTTTCGACGATTGGCCTACTTCTACAGCTCCCACAAGAAAAATGGCCGGGCGGTTTGCCACAACAAAGCTTAAAATCATTTAATAGCGGAATGCTTTTGCGTTCTACTCACTTATTTCGGTGCAGTGACTTAAGATACACTGATAGGATGTTTAATCTTGCAAAAACAATCCAAACTCATTCGATTTGTGCAGAAGTATTTCCTCTCATGCCTGCCTGGAAGCTGCCATCTTCTTGACAACTAGAGGCGGAGGAAAATGGTAGGGAGTTGGCGTCACCCGAAGTAAACATGGCGACAGAGCTGCTCTTAGCTTTTCTTATGCTTTATTAAATTCGAATTTTAATCTCAAAACCTGATTCTAACTTAAGCAGTACTCCAAATCAACATTAGCTTCATAGCAAATCAACAAGCTTTAACATTTAACTAACGAAGCAAATTACCCTTGTTGTAAGGGTTTTGTCCCTCACTAAAGATGGCGACATCCGCACACAGAACAATAGCCAATTAAAATGCAAACATTCGAATGAAACGTGCGTACGTTTATTAAAATGAGCTTGCTGCAGTTTCACGGTTTGATTCATACTGAAAAGGCATTTGGCACTAAATTTCCTATTTTAGTGGTCGTAGTCCGACTGTGTTGACCACGCCCACATTATACATTATTTAATATTTAATATTATATATAAATGGGAATTTCTTACATTTCTTCATAAAATCACCATCACCATATTTTCCAAACTCACACAGATAAGAAAAAAAAAACAGTATCGCTCAAACTAAAACCACCCAAACATTTATAGGTTGTCATATTTTTTTTATAAGGATAACATGCAAACAATAACAGATGGGGAGTAATAAGTAACTGAATCCTCCGCCTCAGGAGACTTTGAGAGCAATTAATTTCTAATTCTTTTTTTTTTTTCAAAATAATTAAGTCCAATTGCTGTGGAAAGCGCTGCCCTGTCCACTATAAAACACATTCCTGGTGAAAAGTATGTCTTGATGAGAAGCATTCCCTGCTGTGCATCATGTCTTGCTCAGAAGAGCACTCTGAAGACCTGCGATCAAGATTGTTGATTTGTATAAAGCTGAGAAAGGTTACAGAACCATTTCTAAAAGTCAGTTAGTTACGGAGAGAGAGTGTTAGAGAGTGTTGCTTCTCTCCCAAGGATGGCCGTGCACCAGAAATGAGGCCAATAGTACTGATGAAAATTACAGACATCTCATCTTTTAAGTGGGTGGACTTGCACAATTTTATGACTCTGTGGTAGCTTCTGCCATATACTATGCTTCCGGCCCCTGGCAGCTCAGAGCGGGACAGGAGTAGACTGGATAAGCTTGTCAGGAGGGCCAGCTCCACTTTGAGCTGCTCCCAGGACTCTGTGGAGGAGGTGAGGGACAGGAGGGTGCTAGTCAAAGTCCCCTCCATCATGGACAACACCTCCCACTGCACAGGACTGTAGAGGAGCTGAGGAGCTCCTTCAGTGGAAGACTGAGACACCCTCAGTGCAAGAAGGAGCACTACCGCAGGGCTTCATCTCCACCGCTGTCAGACTGTACGATAAGTCACTTTAAGTCACTAATGACTTGCGCTTGGACTGAAGCACCAGTATCGCTATTGCCACTTTTTTACTCTACATTGTATCCTGCACAGACTATAATTTTTTACCTTAACATGTTGCACACTTTTGTCTTTTTGCATAATCTGAGAGATTCTATCTTTGCCAAAGAGACGTGTACATTTCTCCATTGTGAGATCATTAAAGTTTATTTTACCTTTTCTTATCTTATTTAGTGACTGACGAATACGTTTTTTGTTCGACTGTGTGTGTGTTTCACATTTTTTTCATAGGATCCCATGTGAGTTCATGTGAGTCCCATCTCCAAACAGCTGGTTCATTTGTGATGCGAGGCAATCTTGTGTGTGCCTCTGTAGGCAGCTGAAATGCAGGTGTTCATCAGCAAAAACAAACCAAATAAATCCTAATTCTAAAAGTGAATCAATAGTAAGAGGTCACAGCAAGGACAAGTTTATTTAAATAGCACATTTTAAAAAACAAACATGACTGTCACAAAGTGCTTACCAGACATTACAAAATACAACACACAAATAAGATACAGCATAAAAATAAATAAAATGCAGGACACAATCACTGCAAATGGCAAATAAATGAATCTGAATCTGAATCTGACAATCAGCAGAGGTGTAGGCACCGGGTGGAGCAGGACAGTAGCACGGGACGGAGCACCTGGTGATTAACTGTTTCCTATCTCCTGATTTGATGTATGCAGTGCTTGGTTCGGACTATTCTTTTCTCTGGTTTAATGTATATTTCAATGATCAGTTTAGCGTTAACAAGTCTGTATTGTGACAGAATGGACGAATAGAAGCAAACACTGGAATATTTGCCTGTTTGGTTAACTGGGTCAGGACGCTGGTGTAATACCTATAAACCACCTATAGTAGATGGGTTTAGTTGTGGTAAGAGCCTTAGCAACTTAACAAAGGGTTTAGTCCACGTGCTAAAACCTTGATCAGGATTAGACAGAGAAACATCCTGTTTCAGATCTAACACTATATCCTGAAAGTCACTTTGTGTCCAGGTCTGTGAAAAAGGAAATGGGAGGGCAGTCTTTGTTGCTGATCTAAAACAACTTAAGAATAGAAATGGGATGATTGACTTCTGATTTAAAATAGAAGAACTTGTTTCTCAACAGAAAGCAGCAGTTCTTTATGCATGTAATGTAAAACATTTTGGAATATCTCATAGCTCAAAACTGCTTAATCCTGGTAATTTCACGAAAAATATTGAGCATACGCCTATTTCTTTTTTGTATTACTTAGAACGATAAGTTATAAATATTACATGTTATAAATATGTACTTTATCAATGTAAGTTATTTATGAGCTAATAAGTCTATATTTAATACGCTGACGACACTCAAGATGGAGATTCTTATCCATGCATTTGTCTCCAGTAGGTTAGACTACTGCAATGGCCTGCTCACAGGTCTGTCCAAACTGGCTGTAAAACAGCTGCAGTACATTCAAAATGCAGCAGCTCGAGTCCTGACTAGAACCAGGAAGTATGATCACATTAGTCCAGTCCTCAGGTCTCTGCACTGGCTTCCTGTGGCCCAGAGAATAGACTTTATAACAGCTCTGCTTGTGTTCAAGTCTCTCCATGGCCTCGCACCAAAATATATTAGTGATATGTTTGTCCCATATGAACCGACCCGGACTCTGAGGAGCACAGGGACTGGACTCCTGCTGGTGCCCAGAGTCAGGACTATACAAGGTGGAGGCAGCGTTTCAGATTTGTGCAGCTAAGGTCTGGAACAGTCTTCCTGAGGATGTGAGACTGGCTGCCTCTCTGGTGATGTTCAAATCCAGGTTAAAGACTTTACTCTTTTCAATGCACCATTGTTATTTATTATTGTGATTCTTTGTGTGTTTGTGAGGTAATGTAGCATGAGTGGTCCAAGTGGCAGAAGAATGAATACAAAGGCCCAAAACTTGTATCAAAAAGGTGACGATTTATTTACAGTGCTCCCAAAATGTACAGGGTCTTTCTCCAAAGACAACATGGAGAGTGAATCTCCCTCTTTTCTTTAGAACAGCCAGCACACCTGGCATATATACATGGCCTAAATTGATTGGCTCCTCCCATTCAGCTGGAAAATGCTTTTATACACCACAATATGTATCTGTAAAAACAAGCAATTAACAATTACTGCAAAGACAGTAACATAGCATTAACACAGATAAACAACAACAATACAAATCAACATTAAACCCCTAAAACAGGTTAATTGGCAAACCCCTCCTTTAAATGGGCGGAGCTAGAGAGAGGTCTCACTCCTATGGTTTTAAAACCAGGAAATGCTCTGCGGCCCTCCCCTTTAATCTGGTGCTGCCATAGACTGTAAAAATCAACGGACAGAGTCACGCCTATTTCCGCCCTTCTAACTAATGGGTCAAAAATAATGCTCTACTGGAGCTATCCAAAATGGCCGCAAGTGGTCCCGCCCACAAGAAAATTGTGAAAAACTGCATCTGCGCATGCGTCAGCCGGCGCAGCTCCATTCATTTGAACGAGAGACTTAAAAAATTCACAGCAAATAAACTAGATTGGTCCAAAAAAATTCACCCCCCTCAGCATTGACACACATGTGGAACGGAGCTTTGGGCTAAGAGCCAACTTTTGGACCATCCTGTAAAGACGATTTCGAAAGGTCTGCCAAGGCTATATGTTAGCATTGGTTAATTCTTATTCTGGGTCCACCCCCATCGGCCCGGGGTGGTATTGCAAGCACGTCAGCGCACGTCATTTTGGCCACTTTTGAGCTGGGACCCGCCCCCACTGGGTACTGCATGGAGCAGGTATGCAGAGTTCTTCCCTCTAAACAAATGAATAAACATGGTTTAAGCATTCAATAGTGTCTGATGTTTTTACAGTTAAATGCTGTAAAATGAATGTATGCATGTGAATAAGTGAACTGACAAACCTACCAACAAGGCCCCGGGATATGAGAGTGTATTTGACAGAACCTGTATGTGTGAGGAACCGAGGGTGTACACAAAGGGACAAGTACAGATGTAAGACTCGCTTCGTCACAGTAATTTTAATGTTTTAATGTTTTTAATGACCTGTGTGATTTCAATTGTTTTCAATGGTGATTCTGGTGTTTGTTTTATGTGATTATGGGCCTTGTGTGGACTGTGAGGTGCTTTGTGTTGCCCTGTGTAGGAAAACTGCTCTATAAATAAAGATTGATTGATAAATGTCACTTTTACAAATAAACGAAATAAAAATGTGGATTTTCTTTTCCTTTATGGGCAAAACCTTCAGTTTCTAGATGTGTGTAGCTGGTGCACCTTGCTGCTGGGATTTGACTTGTGCATAATTTTGGTTTCACTTCACACTTGTCTGTGTTTGGACTGGTGATAATGGCCCTCATTTATGAAAATGTTTACTTTTCGGCATTTGTCAATCTGGACGTGGGCGTAAGGTACACACAAAATATACGCCAAGTCAGGTGGTGGTGTTTTTTCCTTAGTTTTGTCCATAAAGCCCCATGAACGATGGTCTTGCTCACTCAAAACTGTCATCCACTGCCCTGTCTCCGCATGTAGCAGAGATAGAATGCAACGCGCTTATCTGGCTCGGGCAGTGGCTACATGTAATAACTCTATATCCAATATTTGTTTCACATTGTAAGTTCAATTACAAATAAAATAAAATCAGGTCGCCTCAAAGGACATTTCAAAATTGTGAATTTGGGTGAAAAGATTTGGAAATCAAAAATAAGTAGTTGAAAAGTAGTCTATAACCTACTTCCAAAATGATAGTCACTGTGGGTGTGTCACAGGCCGTAATCCATGATCTGTACTCCTTCCAGATTGGTTAACATAGAGTAAGGGTTAGCTTTAGATAGAGATAATCCTTTCTAATACCAGCACAAAGCAGTTTACCTGACGTAAAACAAAATGTAATTTGCCACAGTAGTAGCGTTGCTGGCTGGATTTGGCTGTAACTAAATGCCAGTTCAGATTCCAATACAACTAACATTGGCCACGTTTCAGAACCTTTCCCAACATGTCTACTTTCTGTTAATCACAAAATCATGGCTGTCATTGTTCAAGTTTATCTCCATGTTGTTTCTGGGCTACATCCCTGACTAGTTCATCATTGTGTTTACGTCCATTCTGTAATCTCCCTAATTGAGACCTATTACTTAATCAGCTGCTGAACAATTTAATGAGATAACAATTTCAATTGATTAAAAGTTCAGCTGCACAGTCCTATATAAATGTAGCCACACTCACTTTTTGTGGTCTTGAGTCTGAAGTGGTGATCAGTTTTTTACGGAGCAGCACTTCAAGCCGCCATAATGAAGCACGGCCGTATCACCGAGCTCCCAGAGGACTTCTATATTCCCCTTCCCCTGGATACAAACAACATAACTTCTCTTAGCCCTTTCCTTGTTCCTCAGGACCACTTATCAAATTCTGGCACATTTTACGCAATGTCGTTCTTCATGTTTTTTGTGTTCACTGTGGGAAGTTTTATCAATACTCTTACGGTTCTGTGCACTATTCAATACAAAAAACTGCGGTCCCATCTTAACTACATCCTGGTCAATCTAGCCATCTCCAACCTCCTAGTCTCCCTGGTGGGCTCCTCCACCACCTGCGTCACTTTTGCGTTCAAATATTTCGTTTTTGGGCCACTCGTTTGTAAGATTGAAGGCTTTCTGGTGACACTTGGGGGTAAGAATGTTTTTTTTTTGATCACATATGATAGGGACTCATGCTTAAAACATATTTTCTATCATTCCAGGTATGGTGAGTCTGTGGTCTTTGGCTGTGGTTGCCTTTGAACGATGGCTGGTCATCTGTAAACCTTTGGGGAACTTTATCTTCAAGCCAGATCACGCTGCAGCTTGCTGTGTTTTCACATGGATCATTGCATTGGTTGCTTCTGCACCTCCTCTATTTGGATGGAGCAGGTGTGTGCATTGAGTTACGTTTTCTTTATTTGATTTGTTTTGGTGGTAAATCGTTGGTTGTTGCAGGTACATTCCTGAGGGGCTCCAGTGCTCCTGTGGTCCAGACTGGTACACCAGCAACAACAAGTACAACAACGAATCCTATGTGATGTTCCTCTTCTGCTTCTGCTTTGCGGTGCCACTCGCCACCATCATTTTCTGCTATGCTCAGCTGCTCATCACCATGAAAATGGTAGGAAAATGATATCTTAACCCAAACATATGCTAATTTTGTGTTATCTTCTTATCTAGTTTGTGTTTTCTTTTTTGCTCACTATAATAGATAGTGACAATATTCTCTTCTCAAATCTCTCCTCAAAAACCCCTTGTTCCATCCTACATTTTGTTAATTTAGTCACTTTTGTAATTTCCATCCATCCATCCATCCATAGCGTTACATTGGTCATTCATTGTAGACCTGCACCAGGCTGGGAAGATTGAATCTGCAATAGGTAAGCAGCTTGGTGTGAAGAAATCAACTGTGGGAGCAATTATTAGAAAATGGAAGACATACATTCAAAGTAAGAAAGGCTATCATCAGTAACACACTACCCCTCTAAAACCTCTTTCAGATTAAAAAACAATTAAGTTTAAAATATGCATTTAGGCGGCTCATCTCTTTCCCCTTTTACGTAAGAAACAGCCAAAAGGGGCCATCCGCTGTTAATCAGTGTTGGGCAAGTTAAAAAACATGTATTTTATTTGAGCAGACAAGTTCTGCTCAAAAGGAGTGGGCCGAAGCAAGAGCTACATAATACATTATATTACTTATTACTGTTATTTCAAAAGAATGTATTGCACAATACAATATTACTGTATCTGAATTGTAATGCATTACACTACTACTGCATTACTTTAAAGTTAGTTTCTCCAAATGTATATAGTAAAAAAAAGAAAGAGGATTAGTATTTAATCATCTTAAGTTCAATTATTATACATTAATTTCAGTCTAACAATCAAAAGGGTTGTGAAACTTGAGGTAAACTGGTTAATCCTGGTTCAGGTTCAGTCCGGTTGTCCTGGCTCAGTCCTGCACATAGACTGTATAAATTCTGTCCTGCATCATGGCTCAGTCCTGCATCATGGCTCAGTCCTGCATGGCTCGGTCCTGGCTCAGTCCTGGCTCAGAATAGAACAGCTCACTGCTTTATTTACTAAACATGATGGAAGTGCATTCTTCTTGCCGCTGTTTAAAACGCGCCGTGCCTGCCTCTGTCTCAAACATGACTCTTGGGCGGCTCATATCTCTGTGAAAACTGACCCTTTTTGAACGCTTTAAAGATCAAACCAGGGCTTGGACACTCATCTATCGATAGGCTGCATTTCTCTGTTCATACCTCTACTTTGAGCCCGTTTTTCAATCTCTTCTTTTCTTCGGCGTTTATTGGCTGCCTTTTCATAATAAAGTTGACCCAAAAAGGCCACCTATCTTCCAATGAACACTCTCTGGGATGCGCGAGGCTGCCCATCCCCTACTCAGTGTGCAGCCGACAGCAGCAGGGTTCAATGATGACCATTTTTATTGAGTTTATAGTATGTATGTACATTGTTGGTTTTTTCAATCTTACGTGATGGGAAACACTTGGCAGAATAATAAGAAAAGAAAACTTTAAAAAAAATATATATATACAGGAGGATCAGTGAGGGGTTAGTGCTCTGTGTACTGGGTGCAGCTCTGACTGCCACCCCCCCGACCCAGAAATGTATTAAGGGGAAAAAAATGGATTGATGGATGGATTTTTTTTTTTTGCGCGCCATCCTGCAGATGTCCTGGGCCGGACCTGCAGCCAGGGACTGTCTTGAGTTGTCCTGAGCAGACGCGTGTCCCCTGCTTAAGCTAGTACATGTTCAGGCCCTTCTGAAGTTAGCTAGAGAGTATTTGGATGATCCAGAATAGGATTTGGAGAACGTCGCATGGACAGATAAGACCAAAATAGGAGTTTTGGGAAATATCTCAACACGACGGTGTTTGGAGGAGATTGCTGAGTTGCATCTAAAGAACACCATTCTTACTTTTAAGCATGGGGGTGGAACCGACTTGCTTTGGGGCTGTTTGACTGCTAAGAGACCAGGACGATTTATCCGTGTAAAGGAAATAATGAATGGGGTCATGCATCGTGAGATTTTGAATGAAAACCTCCTTGTAACAGAAAGGGCATTGAAGATGAAACGTCTTTCAGCATGACAATGATCCCAAACACACCGCCCGGGCAACGAAGGAGAGTGGCTTTGTAATAAGCAAAGGGTAAATAATAAAAATATTGAAATTAACTTTTGTTACTTACTAAATATACTTATTTTCCACCATAATTTGCAGATAAAATCAAACGTGTTATTTTCTGGATTTTTTTTTTCATTTTGTCTCTCATAGTTAAGGTATACCTATGATGAACAATACAGGCCTCACTCCTCTTTTTCAGTGAGAGAACTTGCACTGTTGGTGACTGACTAAATACTTTTTTGTCCCACTGTGTTTAATCATCGCAGTATAAAGGATCACATATGAAAAAAGTATTGGACATGGAAAAGGTCCAGAACATTTCAGACAGAAATCCTGGGTGTTTTTTCTAACCAACCATCAGCTTCATTTTGCAGCCATCTTTGTAATAATACTAAAACTGTTTTGGACCCATTGACTTATATGATCGTGCCTAATGAAACCTGTCCCTTTCTTTCCTCTCAGGCGGCTAAAGCACAGGCCGATTCAGCCTCTACCCAGAAGGCCGAGCGGGAGGTGACGCGCATGGTGGTCATCATGGTGTTTGGCTTCCTGGTGTGCTGGCTGCCTTACGCCTCCTTTGCCCTGTGGGTGGTCAATAATCGGGGGCAGACTTTCGACCTGAGATTTGCCACTATCCCCTCTGTGTTTTCAAAGGGTTCCGCCGTTTACAACCCAGTCATCTACATTCTGCTCAACAAGCAGGTGAAGGCAACGTTCCCACTCAAGTATTCTATTGATATTCCTTGTTTTTGAAGCATTTCCCCTGCATATACATTTGCCTTGCTTAGATCTCCTACTATTGTGTAGCCTGTAGTGCAGAGAGTTTTGCTGTATTTTAAAGTCATGATTTCTTTCCTGTTTCAGTTCCGCTCTTGCATGAAGAAGATGCTGGGAATGAGTGGGGGGGAAGATGAGGATTCCTCTTCCACGTCTTCTGTGACAGAAGTGTCCAAAGTTGGCCCTGCTTAAACATTGTCTGTTCCTAAATGTTGCAATTGTAAATATATATAATGCAGATGTGTGATTTATGTAATGAACCAGATAGTGTTTTTTTTTTCTTTTGCACAGCATGCCTAAAAAAACTACCACAAAAAACAATAAAACAAAAACTATTCTAATAAAAATAAGGTGGCAAGTATTACAAGCTTCTGGGCTTATTTGTGTTCCTGTGTTTGTCTTTTGCACTAAACTTATTGCAAGGACGTAAGGCTAAAAGTTTCTTCCGACTTGTGCAGCTTGTGCAGAAGAGGATTGTAAAAGGATACCTTGTATCCGATTATTGGATTTTACAGCTTCAGAAGTCAGATTAGCCCCACACAAATCCGCTGTTCTTCCCTGCTCAAAGGATTAACCTGTTCTAAGGTATTGGCAGGTTAAAACCAAGGGTGGATTGTTCATGTCAAAAGTCAAGTGCTGTATCAGTGGACAAACCCATGTCACTTTCTAATACAATGGTAGACATTTTTTATTTTATAGCGTTATCAGCAAAGTTGGTATAAAGAACCACTGGCTCTTGATCAAATATGGTACAGTATTTTTCTTTGTTTTTAAAGGGACAGTGTAATTTTAACATTAGCCAAAAATATAGGCATTGTTCCAGGTTGTATAGAGGAGTGATAATTTACATCCGTAGTCCCTGGTTAGCAGATGGATACATGACCAGATTCAAATAGATTATAGTATCCATACATTTTCAGACATTAGACAGTTTACAAATTAATTTAATATACAAGTTATGATAAAAGTACCTAGCCCTCATTAACTTTCTCTTCAGGCGAATATTTGATGAGCTCACACACTCAAACACTGGGACAGATTTGTCTCTCTAAAAGCATTTCTTTTTGTTGCAGTTGCGCAAATACTTTTAGTTAAGTGCGTGTGATGATCTCTGGGAGTGAGTTCCACTGACTCGCTACAGTGAAGGACGCAGCACTCTCCTCGTGCTGCAGATCAATATTATCATAGAAACAAAAATCAAAGGATATATCAGATAGTGGTGATATTGTTTAGGTTTTTTATCTTGGATTTTTAATGTACATTTATATATTGATTGATTGATTGAAGAGGGGTGACAGTAGAGCAATGGTCTTTGGGACCTAATGGTCGTGGGTTTGAGCCCACCACGGCCCATGTCACCTGCTCTCACTGATGTCTGCTGTCGTTGTGTCCCTTGGCAAGACACTTAACCCCACACTGCCCAAAGCCCCTGCTGAAAGACCAAGGCCATCTCGTTGATGTTGGAGAAACCATCTTCCCGTGGACCCACCACCTGCGGGAGGATCAGCAAGGGACTGGTGCTATGAGACTCGGGTGGCAGCTCTGATTGCCACCCCCCTGACCCAGAAATTGAATAATAAAGGGGTAGAAAATGACATGACATGACATATTGATTGAAGAGGCCCTAAGCAGATTTGGAGCCTTGGGACATAACGTACACCAAATGTGACAGAATCATAGCATTCAGATACATGTGAGAAGCCTCAGTTGTGAGGGACCCTCTAACATTTCTGAAGTTGTCCAAATAAAATGTAGGGTGTTTACAATGAATAGATTAAAAAATCATCAAATGCAAAGGTGGAGAAGAGAGTAACGTGTAAGTAGGTAAATTGATCATGTTATTTCCATTCATTGGAATTGTTGAGTAATTTAGGCGTTTGGTTTGATGTGTGAATCACATAGCAACAGCTTTCTCCGTATTTAATGTTAATTATTGATTATTTAATGTCAATTTAATGTCAATTATTTGATACAGCCAGTCATCCACCTTCTGCATGAAGATGGTCAGTTATTTTGCTACTCCCATATTCCATATTCCAGACTAACCTTCTGTGGAAAAATAAGTGACACTGGAACGCCTTTCATAGGGGTGCACTAGCTCCTATGGCCAGACACCTGCATCCCCTAAAGATATTTTTCCTATAATGTTACAGTACTGCTGCCCCTTGCTTCCATTTAGGGGTCATAGCCCTGACTCACCGGTTGGCTTTCAGCCAGGGGCCCTACAGCAGTTTATCCCCTCACTTATTGCAGGCAGTGCACATGCCAGGGTCGCATCAGTTCATGCATTCACAGTTACGCTCCATGAACCCTATCTTGCTCGCAAACTCTTGCTTCCTCCACTTTCATACCTCTAACATTCAAAGCCATCATTCCATCCATACCTTAGCCTACCTCTCGGTCTACTACCACTCATGCAACTATTCATCGCTTTCTTTGTCACTCTCCTTTATCCATTTTCTGCATATGCCCAGACCATCTCAGTACATATGTATCTACTCTACCATCCAGGTCACCTAATGCACCCGTTCTCTCCCTCACTGTTCCATTCCTCATTCTCCATCCTAGTCACACCTGTCATACTTCTCAAACATTTAATTTAAAAAAAAAATGTTTTATATTTCTTCCCTTCACATTCTCTCAAACCCCACGTTTCCGCACCGTACAACAGTCGGCACAACCACCTTCTCATTCAAACTCTTCTTCACACTTATTAGGCCCGAGCCCCGGGCCTATTGTTTTTGCTCGAGAGATGTCAAATTCTGCATTTTGAGCCTTAATTTGACCCCCTGAACATGCATGAAAAGTCAGTCTGACAAACATCAGACCTAGTGAAAAATTTGATATTTTGGTGTTTATTTTTATGGAACTCAAAAAATGCCAAAACAGCGCCCACCTGCAACAGCCAATGGGAGTTTCAGAGGTCAAGTTTGTCGTAGAGCCATGAAATTTGGTACACATGTTCCTCAAGTCAAGATAAGACCAAAATGTTATAATGGCTCCACCCTCTGACAAACAGGAAGCCCATAAATTTCACTGTAAAATGGAAAAATTAACAGCAATCATTTTCATACAAAAAGCGACTCCTCCTCGGCCGTTTCACCGATTTGCCTCAAAATCGCTCCACATCATCTCAACACATTCCATTCCATTCCATTCCATTCCATCTTCTTCCGCTTCATCCATTGCCGGGTCGCGGGGGCAGCAGTCTAAGCAGAGACGCCCAGACTTCCCTATCCACACACACTTCCTCTAGCTCATCCGGCGTTCCCAGGCCAGTTGAGAGACATAGTCCCTCCAGCGTGTCCTGGGTCTTCCCCGGGGCCTCCTCCCGGTGGGACGTGCCCGGAACACCTCCCCAGGGAGGCGTCCAGGAGGCATCCGGAACAGATGCCCAGCCACCTCAACTGGTTCCTCTCGACGTGAAGAAGCAGCGGCTCTACTCCAAGCTCCTCCCGTGTGACTGAGCTCCTCACCCCATCTCTAAGGGAGCGCCCAGCCACTCTGCGGAGGAAGCTCATTTCGACCGCTTGTATCCGCGATCTCGTTCTTTCGGTCATTACCCAAAGCTCATGACCATAGGTGAGGGAGGGAACGAAGATTGACCGGTAAATCGAGAGCTTTGCCTTTCGGCTCAGCTCCTTCTTCACCACAACGATCCGATACAGCGATCGCATCACTGCGCACGCTGCACCGATCCGCCTGTCAATCTCACGCTCCATCCTTCCCTCACTCGTGAACAAGACCCCGAGATACTTGAACTCCTCCACTTGAGGAAGGACCTCCCCACCCACCTGCAGAGGGCAAGGCACCTTTTTCCGGTCGAGCACCATGGCCTCAGATTTGGAGGTGCTGATTCTCATCCCAGCCGCTTCACACTCGGCTGCAAACCGTCCCAGTGCATGCTGCAGGTCCTGGTTCGTTGGAGCCAACAGGACAACATCGTCTGCAAACAGCAGAGATGAAATCCTGTGGTCCCCGAACGGGACCCCCTCCGACCCCTGGCTGCGCCCAGAAATTCTGTCCATGAACACAGTGAACAGAACCAGTGACAAAGGGCAGCCCTGGCGGAGGCCCTGGTGCGGAGCGGCGCGGTGCAGGGTGGTGGGTGCGGTGCGGGGAGTGCGCGGTGCTGCGAGGGCCGTTTGACGCCGATTGCGGCTTTAATTTTTACATTCTTACCTCTCACCACTCTACTCACCGCACCAAGAACCTTGCCACCCTCAGTTATCCATTTGTAACCTCTATAACACAGCTTCCATCTGCACTCTCATTTGAACCCAAATACTTACACACAAACTTTCATACCACTCGCGCACCTTCTCACTTTACTCTTCCCAACATTCACATTCAAATTCCTCCTTGTACACACTCTACCAAACTCACTCACTTCAATCCTCTTCATCTTCAATTTCAGCCACTAATACTGTTTCATAAGAGTAAATATATTGACTTGTTTTTTTATCTGACAAAACTATGTCAATAAAAACACAGTCCCATCATTTCGTAATCTTCTCAATTGTTTCTGCAAAATGACCTGACTTCCCATGTTGTCAGCTGCACACAAACACCGTTTGTCATGTCACACTAATCCCAATAGCAGCTTAAAAGAGCTCTTCTTAACCCATAGGTGGCACACAGGACATAGTCAATTGTCAATTCAGTTGTATGTTTCCACAGACTGTAAATCCTTAGCAGCTTTTTCCTCATCCAATTAGATTAGGAACTGTAAAATACCTATAAGATCCCTATAAATGTAGGTTTAGCCTCTCTTTGAGAAGAAGCACAAGGGCAGAGCAACAAATCTAACGGCCTGTGGAGGCTTCTTTCTTTGGTTTGGTCGATGTTTCAGCGCACAAACATGAGAACCAGTCAATCTGTGGAGTTCCATGAGGACTTTTGGATCCCCATCCCACTGGACACCAACAATCTGACTGCATTTAGCCCGTTCCTGGTGCCGCAGGACCACTTGGGCAGCAAAGGTCTCTTCTATAGCTTATCCGCCTTCATGTTCGTGCTGATGGTGCTGGGCACAGCCATCAACACTCTGACTGTGGCATGTACAATTCAGCACAAGAAACTGCGCTCGCATCTCAACTACATCCTGGTCAACCTGGCTGTGGCAAACCTGCTGGTGTCCACAGTGGGCTCCTTCACATGCTTCTACTGTTTTGCCTTTAGGTACATGGCATTGGGACCGCTGGGCTGCAAAATAGAAGGTTTTACAGCAACCGTTGGAGGTAAGGTGCTGCCGGAGAATTTAGAATACGATGAGATGAGATAGTCTTTTAGTCGTCCTGAATTTCAACGTCATCGTTGTGCACATTACAGCAGAATAAGAGGAAATTAGAGCACTCAGATTGCACACATCAAACAGGATCTATTATTTAAGATAATAGATAATAAAATAAAATAATGAGTTATAAGATAATAGAATAAAATAAAATAAAAAAGTATACTTTGAAAGTCAAGAAGAGTTTTCATTTTATGTGTATTCTCCATATGTGCCCACAAACAGACCCAGTGATAGATTTTATTAGATAATTAACAAATAATCTGCCAATTGCAGTACTTTAAGTATGAAATACATATTCAGATGTCAATGTCAATGTCAACTTTATTTATATAGCACATTTACAACAACACCAGCTGCCCAAAGTGCTTCACAGGCACGAATGATAAAAATAAAAATAAAACAGTATAAAATACATACACACATGTAAAAGTAAAGTGGTAAAACCTCAACTGGTGTTAAAAGCCAAGGTGTAAAAATGTGTCTTTAAACTAGACTCAAAAATTTCCAATGAAGGAGCTGCTCTGATGAACAGAGGTAGACTATTCCACAGTTTGGGGGCAGCAACAGAAAAGGCTCGGTCTCCTCGAGTTTTGAGACGAGACCGGGGCACATTCAACAACATCTGGTTTTCGGACCGCACTGATCTGACCGGAGCATACAAAGATAACAGCTCCGACAGATATACAGGGGCCAAACCATTCAAACATTTAAAAACAAGCATCAGAATCTTAAAATCAACCCTGAAAGTAACAGGGAGCCAGTGAAGTGAGGCCAGCACGGGGGTGATGTGCTCTCTCTTACGTGTCCCTGTGAGTAAGCGCGCAGCAGCATTCTGCACCTGCTGAAGGCGCTTTAATGAGCCGAGGTCCAGACCACAGTACAACCAGTTGCAGTAATCTAATCTTGAAGAAATAAAAAGGTGGATAACTCGCTCAAAGTCAGTCGGTGGGATGTAAGCCTTCACTTTGCTCAAGACCCGGAGCTGATAAAAGCTGGCTTTGATGACCGAGTTAATTTGCTTGTCCATCCTAAAGGTGCTATCAAAAATAACTCCTAAGTTTCTGGCAGAGGAATGGACATGAGCAGAGAGTGCACCAAGTGCATCAGTGAGCTCCACAGGGAGGCTGGAGCTAAAAACAACAATCTCAATTTTATTCTCGTTGAGAATTAAAAAATGTTGGGCCAGCCATGATCTCACTTCCTGGAGACAATCTAGCAGTGTTGCAATTGACACTGAGATGGGATTTAAAGGCAGGTAAATCTGCAGGTCATCAGTATACGCATGAAAGGAGACATTGTGTTTCTTTAGAATATCTCCAAGTGGCAGCATATACAAAGAAAAAAGGGCGGGGCCTAAAATGGAGCCCTGTGGAACGCCACAATTAAGGGGTGCCAGGCCAGACTTGTAGGGCCCAAAGTAGACAGAAAAACACCTGTTACCAAGATAGGACCTGAACCAGTTTAATGCGGTGCCTTTAAAACAGCGTAGTGCTCCAAACGCGAAATTAAAATGCTATGATCTACAGTGTCAAAAGCAGCTGTCAAATCTAAAAGAACTAAAATGGTTTCCCACAGCTGACACTCTCCATGGGTTTCAGAACTAAATTAACTGGATTATAAATTGTTGTAGATTTAATATAATATTGTAATTGTTTTCAATTGTTTTTTACGTTAGAAACAGCCACAAAATGAATTTTCTTATAAATAGAGCTGCTTTAAATTGCGGCAGGGAGGATAGTGACCGCAGTTCCAAGGGGCAGATTATTCCAGTCTCGAAATGGCCTTTTTCCCACCTCTCTTCAATGGGGATTTTGAAATACGGATAATTCAAATTTCTTAAAGAGTGTGTTGTTCTAAATGGAAGCATATGTTGTTTTAGGTAATCGGGTAGATGAAGGTAAATACACTTCTACAAAAAAGTAAACCAAGAAAACTGTCTTCTTGCTTTGAGATGAAACCAACTCAGTAAAGAGTAAAGTGAGCAATCATGAGTGAAATATGTGCATCGGAGTGTGCATCTGCAGAGTTTGTAAGAGTGGTCAAGGGCTTAAGAACAGTATCAGTACTGTAGCGACCCAAACCTATGTCGCTTCTGGAGAGAAGAGTGCGGGTCCAGTATAATGGCTGACGCGCTGCCGATTGTAAAGACCACGCTGGAGGCACGTAATGCGTTTTGTGGATTTAATTGTATCTGCGGTTTATGATTGTTACAGTGCATATGAGTAAAACAGAAAACAAAAGAATATGGACCAAAAGTGTGCGGTCAACGAAAAATACAGCTACCCGGCTTCTCCCCTCTCCCTGTCACTGAGCAGGAAGCGAGTGCCTTTCAAAACTCCCGGCACGACAACCATGCCCACGTGACCCACGCCCCCTGACACGTTGCCATAGCAACCATACCCATGAACCAATAGATATGGCTCCTACAAGTACTATGTTGATAGACGTCACCGTAGTCAATTATTGGCAGCACAAGTTGCTGAACTATTCTTTTCCTGATTAATCTATGAAGCTGAGCCAGAAGAGCATAGGTTTTTTTAGAATATGATATATGTGTGGTTTGAAGTAGAGTTCTGGGTCAGCTCGAGATATTTGAAGATTTCAGTCTATTGCATTAGAGTTTCATCCAAATACTGTTTTGAAATATTTTGTAGGTTCGTACCCATTTGTTTATAATAAGATTGTTTTGGATAAGCCAATTTTGTATATGGTCAAAGTCATTTTGAAGGCATTCCTGTACGTGACGTAGGTTGTTATGAGAGCAGTAGATAACCATACAGGTGAACATAACATTTGCTTATAATTTTTGGTAGTTCATTTATGTATATAGAGAATATGAGTGGACCTAGTGAGGACCATTGAGAAACTCTTTTTGCTACTGTGGTGGTAGATGATAATTTACCTTGAACTGTTGTATAATGTTTTCTTGAATGTAGGAGTTAAACTACTTTTGGATAGACCAATTGAATATAGCTTGTCCAGTAAAAGGTGGTGGTCAACAGTATCGAAAGTATGAAGATAGCTCCTGTGATATTTTGGTTGTCGAGTACGGTATATACTGTATATTGTTTGAGAAAGTAACAAGGGCTGCAGTTGTGGCATAATAACGTCGAAATCCTGATTGAAGTGGTTATAAAATATTGTGTTATTATAAGATGATAGTTCTTTGAAAAATTAGTTTTTCAAAGATTTTGTACTGTGCATATAATTGAAATTGCACATTTCCAGATTTTTGGAAGTGAGTTAATACCAAGAGGTTGAACAGTTCTACCAACGGAAATATTAGAATCTCAGCCACCAAATTATGGAATTTGGCCTCTTGTCCATCAGGTCCAACACTTGCCAATGCATTTTTTATTTAAAATACCAGATCAGCCTCTGATTTGATTATTCTATTGTCACACCAGTTACATAGAAAATAAAAAGTCATCAGTAAGTAAGTAAGTAAGTAATCTTTATTCATAGCGTCTCAGACCAGAGTCACAACACACATGTTATTTTTGGGCATTTATCTCTCACTCCACACAGAGATGGAAGTGAGGTTCAAACAAACACAATCAGTGACAGATGAACTCCCACAAGATTTAACATGGCTAACACAACATGAGTAAATCCTTTAATAAGGAATAATTTTGGGAAAATAAGCAATACAAATTTAAATGTGAATTTTAAAAATGTTTAACGGACGTAATGATTTATGTCAATTTTTTTCTAAAAATACATCTTGAGGAAAAAAGATGGTCTGGTATCACATTTATAAAGCAATCACTTAGTTTCTACTCTGTGTAAAAAAATGATCTATGAATTAAATGTGGATCTGAAAATATGTAACAAACTTCCGCAGCTCATTCTGTTAAAGAATCATGTCCGAGACACAAATAAACAGAGCAACTGTAGAACATGAGACTAATGTATACAACAGTTGTCTTCTAGCAGCCACTAATGAACTGAAGACATATTTGGCTAAATAACATTATATATTTTCTAATTCATAAAACAAACTTTTTGGCCTTCTGTCACACTTTTGTGCCCTTTGGTGTGAACAAGCCCACATCCAATCCATCTATGACCCTGCTGTGACCCTGCTCCCATCTCTGTGTGGAGTGAGAGACAAATGCCCAAAAATAACAATTGTAAACCGCTTTGAGACTCAGATCTGCAGTGAAAAGGCGGTATATAAATAAAAACTTACTTACTTACTTATTGTTATCCCTTTAATCCAATTCTTTGTTGGGGATCAGACCTGCCACCCAATTTACAGATCACCGGCTTAAAACTATTATGTTAAAATTTCTTAATAAAAAAAGTTTCTATATAAATAAATTGCAGATAATAATAGGCTCAATATTACTTTTATAATTTACTTGAACACTGGGCTGGCTGAGTGCTGACTCCCGTGCTCTTATACTGCTACAGGTTCTGTCCTATTTACAATGTAGGGAATGAAAATACTTTATTTGTTTTCAAAATAATCATCATGAGCCGGTGTCTATATCTGTCTGCTGCAACCAAGCTTTTAATGTATTTATTTAATTTATTTGACAGGGACATTGCACATTAAATGTATTGTTCAGAAAGGACATAGTTTAAAGCAATTTTCATCAGTCATCCCTGGGCACAGGTTTACAGTGTGCAAAGAATTAATAAATAGAATGGCATAGATAGCATTTAAAATACAGGTCAGATGCAACACCCTGACCACAAAGAATATATACAACACAATAACTTACATCTGATTTAGCATCCTATGAAATACTTGTGTAACAGTGTAAAAGGTGTATGCAATTAACCCATCAAATGTCTCCACAACTATAAAGTGAAATGGATTGGGTTGATGATGATTGCTAGGGTTTTTTTCATCTGGGTTTGTCTGTTTGTTTTTTCAAGAAGCAACTATTAGTATTAGATAGCAATATGGCCTACGTGCAGGACTGTACAAGGACT